TTTTTTTCAATTTGGTCGGGCTTCGGGCTCGGGCTCGGGCTCGGGCTTCGGGCTTTTTACCAGGGCCGGGCTCGGGCCCAAGTTATAGGCCCGTTGGTCGGGCCGGGCTCGGGCTCGGGCCTAGTATATTTTCATTAGTGACAAGTGAAAGCCCGGCCCGACCGGGCCCATGAACAGGTCTACTCTCTACGTAGCTATTGTCTTGCCTATGGCTCAATTGGGTGATGGAAGATTTTCTCACTGGACCACTGCTCCGGCATCGACCTATTTGGAAATTGGTTAAACCCCATATTATTATAGCCATGCAACTGTCTCCTGGTTTTATTTCTAAAACCATTCAAAACGAAAAATTGGTAGGAATTAATCCGAAAAGCACAATAAGGAACTCATCAATAAGCAATAGTGCTTGTACATTGACAGACGTAGCCTTCCCATTAGTATCACTACTTCCGTGATCACCTTGATACCTAAAATATCCATATTGTTAGAGTTTCATTAATTTTACCCAAGCTGATCTCCCTAGAACAAGGGTCCTTTCAACCATTATGAATAATATCTCTATAGTATTGGGGTTAGATATTGATATAAATAACTAAATAAGAATGTGAGAGCGGGAAATATGATCCTTAAGTTGACTGAATGTAAAATGCTAATTCACTAAAAAAGTTTTATGCAAATTTGGTTTTTCAAATGTTTATTGAATTGATATGGTGAGTAAAATGGTGACAAACTGCTAGTTTTTAATTATATGAAATGGGGTTATTTCTGGCATTTTCAAATTATCTCAGGGTTTAAGATAAGGAGATTCTTTATCTACAACTTGGGAGTTCACATTTGTGTCCCACAACGTCCCGTAGAACATTCCCGCCATGTATTGAGAACATCTTTCGATGATGATCTCATTGGTTCTGGTATATCATCAAGAGATATTCCTAATACATGGTGGAGATGTGCTGCAGGACGTTGTGGGGCACAGATCTGAACTCTTGGAGGTTGGGATAAGTTTTAAAAGGCACTGAGACGAAGCATTGAGGTGCACACCTCAAGGCGAGAGCGCCAAAACAGGTGCCTTGCCCCTTTGCTAAGAGGCTACTGCCTCTATTTTTGAGAGACTTGTACATACCTGCGCCTTGCACCTCAAATTGGTGAGGCGTAAGCCTCATATGAAAAGCATTATAAATTATGAAATGTGCAAATTAAATAAATGGATAATTTTATTTTAAGTAAATTGTAGCTATAAAATATATGATTAATTTTAGGAAAAATTCCCTGTAGGCCTAATATCAATTTAGTATCCAAACTTTAAAATAGCGTTAAATCCAACATTTAACTTTATCAAATGAATTTCAAAACTTGTGCAACAATCTAATACCCGAACTTTAACTTTAAAATGCAACATTTAACTCACCGTTAAATGTCATGGGAAAAGACACAAACGTCTCTTAAGTTTCATCGAATTTTCTTTATCAAATGAATCTCAAAACTTGGTGCTTTGAAAATGAGGAATCAACGTACGCAACGATATCAAAATCGACGGCCGGCTATAAGTGAAAGCAAAGCTTGGCGGTTTTTCCTGCGCGAAATGAATCAGGTGATCAACTGCGCACTGGGCTTAAAGAACCCCATCGATGTTAACTACTTGAAAGAACAAGTCAAGAGCTCCATCATGATACAACACCCAAGATTTTGCAGTCTATTGGTGAAGGACAACCAGGGGAGGGAGCACTGGAGAAGAACTGAGGTGGAGATTGACAGGCACGTACTTGTTCCGGAACTCGGTGGCGAACTCGACGCTGGGGGTATTCCTGAAGACGATGAGGAGATGGTGAACAGTTCTAGACTTCTAGTCAATACATCAAGGCTCCCCATCTTGATCATGGCGTTCCCAAAATCGGAAAAGAAAGCTGCAGAGTTGGTGCTGTAAGCTCTAACTTCAGCGTCAGTGGAGCCACCACTGAAGAGCTCTTGGTCTGAGTGCAGCAGACCCTTGTTGTTCAACAAGTTGGTGAAAGAAGCATTATCGAACGTTGTATCAGTTGTGTTGTCAAGATTGTGGAAGAAGTCAGCACCTTCCTTATCACAGGTGGATTTTAGGAATCCATTAAATGTGGAGTCTATATTGGCGTCGTTGTCGATACGACTTCTTAAGGTGGAGCACTTGGCCAGACCAACTGAATGAGCTCCTTCAAAAACAAAAAGAAGACAACAGTTAAGCAGATCATCAAACATGTAGTTAGAAACAACGCCATTAATTCTGGTTTTGGAGCTCTAGCTACCTGATGTGGAGCAACGAACTCAGTTTCAGTAAACCCCTTGTCTGTAAAGTTTTTTATGAGGGTACTGAGATCCGAGTCAAAAAACGGGAGGCCACCATTGTCAGCCAGAGCAAAATTTGCAGTTGTTGAATCTCTTCTCCCCAACTGCACTGTCCATGAAGTGCCACCCAACTGGGATAATTATATTGCAAAGAAAACAAATTGTCAGAATCTATACTAAAGAAAACCGCCAAATATTGCTATAAATTAAAAGATATTCGAAGAATTTCTATGGTGAAATGAAGCTTTAATTGCAGCTTTTGCTTACAGCAACGACGGCGTCGGGAGCAGCTACTGCTAGAATGTCTGCACAAGAAACAACTCCAGGGCACTCGGTAGTTTCCAGTTTAGTTTTAATGGCATCGATCATTTCAAATCCTCTCACGGAGTTGTTGTTGGGAACATCGGTCTTCTCCCCTTGGAAGCCAGTAGTGGAATTGTCATCCAAAAGAAGAGATGCATCACAGCCCTGTTCAATACATAGAGGGATAGAGTATTGTTTGTCAATTGTCATCATCAATGCTATATATTCTTAAAAGATGACAAGATCATTCATTATTAAACACATGAAAAAAAAAACAGGTCTAAATATATAAATTGAAATAAAAGCTACAGGCAAACTCTAGCTATGGCCAACTTCGTCTCATTTGTCAGCAAGCAATACAGAATTAGGCAAGCTAGCTTGGTGAATAGGAGTGACTACTTGCCGTAACAAAGCAGTCATGAAAATGGAGACGGAGCATTAATGAGGCCCCCATGCGACGCTCACGAGCCACTGCAGAATTTACTTCAGATTGAATGGTGGAGAGGGCTGTGGGGTACGACGTCGCGTAGAAACCTGACGACGATAGCTGCCCAGAGGCCATGCCCAGTAAAAAGACTAAGATTGAGAATAAGGTGATCATCCTATTAATTGTTATTAGTGATTTTATTTCCATAATTTTATGTTTTACTATTGTTAATTTCATGAATTTATATTTTTGAGAAAAATTCTATCATAGGTCATAACTCATGATAAATAAATACTTATTTTTCTACTAGATTTTAAGAGATGGGAAGGTCGGGTTGGGCCTAACCCGAGCCCAACCCAACCTGAAGTTGACATCGGGTTAGGTCTGGTTGGGTTAGGGTTGAAGGAATTAGTTAGGGTTAGGGTTAGGGTTGAGTAGGTCGGGTTAGGGTTGGGGGTTTAGAACATAGGGTTGGCCTCAATCCGACCTAACCCGGCCCGACTTGCAGCCCTACTAGGCAAAGTATACGAGCTAGTTAGAGGCATAATGAAAATGGGTTGCGCAAGCCTTGTGCCCAAACCAAATGCAGCTATCGCAAGAAAAACACAGGTCTCCACTAACACTATTGCTAGCGTGGTTTGGTATGAGATGGAACCTGATCCATGAAACCCCACTAAGTCATATGCAAATTCACCCAAGTCTTCAAGAACGAAATAATCTCGGCACTGCTTCCCTGTAAGGATGAGCATATCCTTCGTGTCTCGAAGAATGGTGTAATTGAAGAGCTTGGTTTGGGTTATGTTTCATTTTCTTGAGAAAGAAGATGATGAACAATGTTTTAGTTTCAAGGGTAATTTTGGCATTTTCAAAAGTCTTAAGTCGCACATGAGGTCACATGATATACATAACTGATGATCCATTAACGGTAGATACTAGATTGTCGAAAATGAAAGTTCAAGTACTAAATTGACACTCGGCCTAAAGTATAGGATACCTATTGGGAATTTTCTCTTAATTTTAAGATAAAAATTGAATATGAATATAATTTTTTTTTATAAAATATGTACCTTTAATGCATAAAATATTGCAAAGAAACAAAGTTATAACATAAAATAAAATTTTGAAAAACATAAGACTCATATTAAAAAGAATATATGTGTAATGAAAAGAAAGTATGTAAGTTCACTACAAAATGTGTAATGAACTTATATTTATGCATTTATATACATAAAAATTAAAAATTATATTTATAGTTTGAAACTTATGCCTCGCCTTCACCTTTAGCCTTTTAAACCTTGGGTGCAATACAGAATAAAGCCAAGGTAGTTTTTACATTAGTGGTGGCAATGGTGTGACTAAGATAGAAGATTTTCATTTTTTTTTTGGTGTGTGTGTGTGTCGGGGGGGTGTGTTTGGTTTGCAACCAGAATCAGAATTAGAATCAGAATCGAAATCCTCCAGAATCGGAAGTGTAATGATCTATTCCCATAGTTTGTTTGATTCCGACAAGAATATGAATGAGAATGAGAATTGGAATGGCCATTCCTTCAAATGGGGAAATGTCATTCCAGCAGGAATGAGAATGAGATTCAGATTCCATCCAATCAAACAGTTGGAATCAGAATAAGCCATTCCGATTCTAATTTCAAACCCCTATTCCTGTGAACCAAACGGGACCTTAGATCCTTCTTATGATTCTACAAAGTTCTTGTAAAGTCCCCTAGGCTATTTGGTAATGGAAGACTCAAATAATGGAATTTTATTTTTGAAGGCTCAAATAATGGAATTGACTAATAATCCGGCGTATCAAGCGAATCGATACTCCTTTTGATAGTTTTTATTTATTTTTTATTTTTTTTGCCAATTGGTTCAAGGGAACCAGTTTAGGTCTTCGCCACACCCTAAACCAGTCAGACCACTGATACACCCACTGTGTCCATACAATGAACTTTGCTAATAATTATGTTCACACCTCTGGGAAGGCAATAAGGTAGCTGAATCATTGGCTAATCTCGCATGTCAGCTTGAAGGTAACAACTTCTTTGATACAGTTGCCCAACTTCACCCTTACTCGTTGAATTGTCATATCTAATAAATAATAACTTTAATATTTAATATTTATGTAATTTATTTGAACTATAACCCATGAAACAGTTTGAGTAGTTTACTGGTTTAATCGTTAGGGTCGACAATTTTTCCGTAGTCATTGGTTTTTTTAATAAAAATGATCATTTATTTAGACACCCCTATAGTTTCACGTATTTATTATCTTTTTGTTTGCATGTTATTAAAACCCCATAATTTGCAACTAATTTACTAAGGAGGTGTTTGGTACATTTGGCATTGTGTTGCTGTTGTGTTTTGGGTTGAACAATACAAATTTGTGAAAGAGTTTTTTTTTTTTTTTTTCTACTTGACATTTTACAAATATTTTGAGTTGATCATTAATACAAATTTGTGAAATAGTTTTTCTATTGTCAAAGAGTTTTTCTACTTTAAATGTTTTGAGTTGATCAAGTACAAATTTGCAAAAAGAGTTTTTTTTTTCTACTTAAAATATTTTAAATTGATCAATATAAATTGTTATTTGGACCGAAAACATCAAATATGATGTTTTACATACATGCATTTTTCTAGTTGAAATAACACTCATATAATAAGTGGCAATACATATTTCTCACAAACTGTAACTATCAATCCAAATAATTAATGACTTATTATGTGATTATTTTATTAAGTTATTAAAAATAATTAATTGTTAAATGCTTAATTAATTAATAATTACCAGTTATGTACTTATTAAAATAAAATTATTTAATAATTAGTTAATTAATTGATAATTATTAATTAATTATCAAATGCTGAATTCATTAAAAATATTCAATAATTTATAATTTTTATTAATTTCATTATTTATTAAATATTTTATATTAACTTAATTTGTTTAATATTAAATATTTTCAGTTAGTTTGTTAAATAGTTAAACAAATTTTCACATATCAAGGGTTAAAATGGTCAATTATCATTTTTAGAACTCAGCATTTAGATCTCAGAATTTCATTAGTATTGCAATATTGGAGTAAGTGATTTTTTTCGGGTTCTAAAGATTGAGGGGGCATTCTTTTTTTTTTTGGATTTTGAGAGGGGGGAAAGTTGGTCAATGTGAATTATTCCCATTGACCAAGAAACCCATGTTTTTTTTTTCAGATTTATGTGGGGACAAGGAAAAGTTTATTTTCCTAGGTATCATTTACCCAATAAGTGATACCCATCTCCTAGGTGGGTAAATAACTTTCTCACATGGTGGGAAAGTTGCCAACACTTGAATGGGACAAAAATGCCCCTTTTAATAATGGATTTTTATGGCTAAAATGGTCATTGCCTTATTTACATGGGAAATAAAAGAACATGAGTAAATGCAATTACCCGAATAAATCTTTTCTGGGAAACACTTACCCAGGTAAATAAATTAGTGAAAAGTGAACGGGGTAAATGTAAAGTTAAGTTAGTTTGGTTATGTTTTGGGTTAAGACCGATTTTCATTAATATTGCACTAATACATATTATATAATAAAATGGCGAATTATCATTTTTTTAGTAAATTAGTTTCGATTTAGTTTTATATTTTATAAATTTGTTCAATTTTTAAAAATTTGATTTATTCAATTCGATTTTTAGCCAAATAAACGGAATCCTCACTCCTATCCACAACATTCTTTACATTCATATTTAAAACCCAAAAAATCTCACCAATTCCATTGCAGCTCTTAAAAACATTATAAGTTCATAGGCATTCATATATTGGACAACAATGCATGCATATAGGTGTAAATCGGGCCATGCTGCCTGCGGCTCGACACGATCTGCGGGTCGTGCCAGGCCTGACATGACCATGCGAGCTGTGTTGGGCCTAGGGTTTTAGGTCCACAGGCCGGCACGGCACGGCATGGCACGACCGAGCAGGCCGTGCCAGGCCGGGCACGACCATGCAGGCTGTGCTGGGCCTAGGCTTTTAGGTCCACGGCCCATAGTTTCTCGTGTCAAAGTAAATGACCTTTTATAAAACTCTAGATTTGGGTGAAAATGGAGATTAACACAGAGATGCACGTCAGAGAAACCCACTAATGTACGCAACAAGGATAACCTTTGTTAAATAAAGAATCGGCTTTTTTATTTTTTTTTTTTTCACGAGTTCAAATGGGTGGTGCGTATCAACGGTGGACTTCCAAGTGACAACCAAAAAATGTACCCCGTTAAATAACAGCAGGGAGTAAATTTGCTTCCAGATATGAAACCGGGGGCGGTTAAGGTGATGGGAATGGGATTGAAGCAAATAAAAAAAATAAGAAAATTGTTTCCATGACAGAAAATAAGAGATAAACAGAAAGTTGGGAGAGAAATATATTAAAGTTCTTTAATACTTCTCTGAAACTAACTGTACGCGTACGTAGCCTTGAATTAGGATGGGAAGTGATGACAAATTTTAATAGTTTTCCATTTTCTTGACAATAGTTTCATTCATGGCTGGAGATCCTCAGTCTACACATCTCGCATGCATACACCATCAATGATGCTGACAATGCTTATGGGGTTTTGGTAGGTTGGGTCCTCTCTATTCATTCTTCTACATTAAATGGTGAGCATGGTCTCACCGTCCCAGCTATCTCTCTCACTTTCACTTTCTTCAGAAAATCATCAATGCTCACCTTTTCTCCACCTCCCACGTCTGACGTATCCCTTCAATGTCAGCCTTCTTTTATAAAGGTAAGTTGTCTTTCTGGGTATAGAGAATGGATTTCTCCTCCACTGTCCATCAGATTCATTTTTGCTTCTCTTTGTTTGTTGTTCATTCTTTTATTGTTTTCCAATCGCTTTTGCATTGAAGCTGAACGCAGAAGTTGCTGCAGGGATTTAAAATTTCGGAAAACATAATATAATAAACCTTCCATTAATTTGTTACTACTGTAGGTTCAAGTCATGGATCTGATCCATCAGTTGCTGAACTTGGTGCTTCCTCCTATCTCTCTAATCATTCTCTGCGTCAGTATACCTCTCCTGTTGATCTTCAGGCTTGTCCGTTGTATAATACAGTCCATCTTTATAAGCGAGAACTTGACCGGAAAAGTCGTGCTCATCACCGGCGCATCATCAGGAATTGGAGAGGTTCATGAAAATTTCTGTTGCTAATTAGGGGCTCGGCCGGATTGGTTCTTTCTCAAACTTATTATTCTGATTATTAGGTTGTATGCAGGTGTTTGATCTTTGTGATCTGTTTGATTTTGTAGTACCTTGCTTACGAGTATGCCAAAAGAAGAGCTTCCTTAGTCCTTGTTGCAAGAAGAGAGACCAAACTCAGAGAAATTGGCGAGAAGGCTCGTCAGCTCGGCGCCACTGATGTTGTGATTGCTCCTGCAGATGTATCCAAGGCTGCCGAATGCAACCGATTTGTCCAAGAAACAGTGAAACACTATGGTCGACGTAAGCTGATAAAGCTTTAATTAGAAAGAATAAGCTAGCTTCTGCAATTTACATACAGTCCACTGTCCAAGGCAGGCATGGCGCAGCTGCTCTAACGCTTAATTAATGGGTCTGATTTTGATTTTGCAGTGGATCATCTGGTGTGTAATGCCGGTGTTGTTCTCTATTGCCCCGTTGAAGACACAACCGATGTTGAGAAGTTGAGGCCTGTGATGGTAATGATCTATGAGTCTACATATAGCCAAGAACAAGTCTTTATATATAATTAGTTCAATTTAATTAATTCACAGTAGAAGCTGCATGCGTCTTATCGTTTGATTATTATTAATTGTATTAGGACATCAACTTTTGGGGATCAATTTACGCCACTCACTTTGCACTTCCTCACCTCAAAAGGAGCAAGGGCAACATCATAGTGAATGCTTCAATGAAAGGGTGGTTGGTCTCTCCCTGGTCGATCTTGTATGGTGTAAGGCATCTCTGAGCAATTAATGGAACCATGATTTATTTCTTCTATACTTTTTGTTTTCCTATGGTAACTCAATCAAACTATTTTCTAACCAAAAGTCAAACATTTTTATGGTGGTTAATTTTCAGGCAAGTAAAGCTGCTTTGATAAACTTCTTTGAAACGCTTAGAGTTGAATTGCCACAAGATGAGAATGTCAAGATAACTATTGTAGCACCTGGGTTTATCAAATCAGAAATCACTCAGGGAAAACACTTATCCAAGGAAGGTGAAGTGGTGATAGATCCAGAAATGAGTAAGGTAAGATCCTGCTGCTAGCAGATTGATGGCCATGAATTGTTAGTTGAAAGAACGTTTTCCTAATTAATCGGGTCAAGGGGGAGTGGGAAGTGAATTAGGGAGATTCCCCATTTCCTCTTGAGTCTTGACCGGTTCAACAGTAACCAATTGGAATAGAACTTCTTTGGTTCCCCAAAAATAAACCACCTCGAATAATATTGTTGTAAGTTGTTGACATTGGGCAAACCCAGTTGGTTAATAGGTTTTCTTTTCGCATTTCTTATTATATATTTCAATTAACTTAATTATAGCCAATGGTTTAAAAACTGATCCGGAGGTCAAACCGTTTTGCCTCTGGGTCGCAAGTCACCAGTTTGACCGTTCGGGTTGAATGGGTTGATGTTTGAACCGGCTGGGTTGGACAGTTCTTGACTGGGTCAATGATTTTTGACCACCTAATGAATTTTAACTGAATTGGACCCGGAATCCTAACCGGGTGATGATTCAAATGGTTCAACTGGCCTGGTTAATAGCAGATTGAAAACACTGGTTATAGCATAGCTGAACCAAAAAAACTGTGGTTAACTGGTAATTAAACCTATATCCCTTTTGGTTGATGGTGGGTTTAATTTGCCCTTCATTAATTGTTTTTTTCGTATGTATACAATTATACATATTCAACAAAAATACATAAACTTAATAGAAATTAAGGTGGCATTTGATAAATCTGAAAAGTTAAAAAGATATTAAAAATGTTTGAAATCTGAAAAGAGGCATAGTTGATTTTCTACTTTTTAGAGGATCTGAATCCATGAGTTTGTTTGTGTTGGATCAACCCTTTACCATCTTAAATTTACTGGTTTTACTATTTTACCCCTAGAACATATTATTTGAAAATGTTGAGTTCAATTTGCACTATCTTATAAAAAATAATTTTCAACCTCAAAATAATATTGGAAAAATACAAATAAAAAATAAAAAATTATTAATTATTAATTAATAAATGAAACGATTAAAATTAAAAAAAATTAATGACTATAAGAATATTAAAATAATTAATAATTTACACAAATAAAAATTAAAATAAATTTACAAATTAAAGAAATAATTAAAAAGTACTAGTTAATAAAAATAATTAATAATTAATAAATAACACAAGTAAATTTAATAAAAATATTAAAATAATTAATAAAAAATTATAATTAATAATTAAAATAAAAATATTATTATTATTCACCGAACCACCGCTGTAGCAGCGATGGCGGTGGTGGGAAGACAAGGGAGGGAGGGAGGGAGGGAGAGAGAGAGAGAGAGAGAGAGNGAGAGAGAGAGAGAGAGAGAGAGAGAGAGAGAGAGAGAGAGAGTGCAGCAACGGTGGAGCTTCGTTAGGTTGCAGGGATAGTTCGATTTGATTTACATGAAGGACAAAAAACATGTAATATTAAAATTTCTTTGAGGGCATTTATGTCTTTTATGCACCTATGAATTAGATCTGAGTGCATTAAGCAGTCTCTCCACCTCTTACAAATTAAGATCTGAAATCCAATTTCAGATCTGTAATAAGAGATCATACCAAACAAAGAAGATGTTTGAAAAGCAACATTTTCAGATTCAGACATTTGAAAAGTGCAATTAAACGCCACCTAAAAGTTTTATTGATTCTATAGTTGGAAATAGTGATAACATGGGGACTCTATTAAAATTGAAGGGGAGTGTATTGTATCATGATGGGCAAGGGTTTTTGATAAATAAAACAAGAACATTAATAAAAATTTATGATGTGGAACAAACCATAAATTTTCCTAAAAAGCTATGTATTATATTTGATCATGTTATTGAATAAATTAATTTTACTACTAGAAGAATCACAAGATTACTTCATGAACCACTAGCCATGTTGTATAGTGGTTCAGGTCAAGCTGTTCATGGGTTGGACTGGGGCATATTCAGGTCAAGCTTTGCTTCTTTATTAATAGAAAATATCTAAGCCTGAACCTAAGCCCAGCCTAACCTTTATATAAAGCCCTCGAAGCTCGAGCCCAAGCCCAAAGCCTAATTTGGACATTAAAAGTCTTATCCATCATGTGATTTAATAAATTAATATTATATATTATTAATATATATTTTTACTATTTGTAATATTATTGGGTTGGACTTATTTGAAAATGCTTAGCCCAACCCAAAAAATAGGCAGCTCTGATGCTTAGAGCCCAAGTCCAAGCCTACGGGCTTAAAATTATGTCCAAACCTGATAAAGAATGAGTCTCGGACATAATTTAATCACACACGAAATAATGTGAAGTAATTTAATCCAATGTAATTTACAAAATATTAATTACAAAATTTAATCCAATCACATTATTTCATTTCCTCTCTCTTTTCACTTTCAGTGACCTCTTACATGTGGCCACTTAATTAGTATTATATATTTCTAAAAAGCAGACAACCCAAGAATCATTTTAGTTAGTTGCCAGTTGGCCTGGGCCGGTTCTGATCGATGGTCTGAACATCTGGTCCGGTCTGAGACTGCTGGCAATAATGTGAATGTGTTATACGCTTGCGTTTTAATACATGGGCACTGACGCACTGTTTAGTGAAAATCAATGGAATTAATTAATTAATTAAATATGGTGACTGGAGTATTGGACAGATGATGAGTGGAAAGTTCCCAGTTGAGAGTACAGAGGAGTGCGCAAGAGCCATTGTGAAGGGAGTTTGCAGAGGAGAGAGATACATTGTGGAGCCATCTTGGTACAGGGTGTTGCCACTGTTCCAGTTCATGTGCCCAGAGCTTGTTGAATGGTGCAGCCGTTGCCTATATAAAACCAAGCCAGGGGATGCAGCAGCAACCAACAAGAGCAAGAGCCTGAATTCCACGGTCATCAACAACAAGTCATTATAATTAGTTGTTTGCAGTGTATGTTTGAATGCAATTCCGTATCTTCTGTTGATATACATGCCTTGGATTCCTTGTGCATGGCTAGTAATTAGAAGGAACCCACGTGGCAAAAAGTAAGACCTTTCCTTCATCACTTCATGAATGGAAGAACTAATTAAGTTAATAATGCATCATATAATCATAATTTACAGTTGGTATTTTATTTTAAAGATGAATTCATGGAGCAAATAATAGATATATATGCTACGAATTATAATCGATTTAACTTTTAAGTTAGGAAAAGTATAAAACATAAAAAGAGAAATTAAGGAGAATGGGTTGATTCCAAATGGCTTGTCTTGTACATTCAACATTGTGTTGTTGGGGCCAACAGCTTACAGCTTTTAGGAATGTCACTTTATCGTGAGAATGAGAATGGGTAAATTAGTAATTATATATTAATTTAATTTTACTAAAAAGTAAAAACCAAACCATGCGCGTGGATAAGTGAACTGCAAGTGCCCAGCCCAGCCCAGCCCAAAATCTGTCTGTGCGACTCTGTTGCAATTTATGGGCGGATTTGGGTTGGGCTATTGTCAAATTTTCCAATGAACGAGGTCCAAAGGCCTAAGCCTATAGCAATGGAAAACTGGAAGATGCTAAGTCGTACGTGACAAGGGGGCCCTTGGACAATCCATGTGTTAGAGTCTAGGTTTATAAACTCCAACTCTCAGGTTAAGGTTTAGATTTTCCTCACCCAACCCTCACTCTTACCAATTCTTTAATTGGTTTGAGATGGACCCAATTATCCAACCAGAATTTGCACCTTTCTCCATCCCCAATCCTCCACATCAAACCTTTTCGTATCCACTCTTTTTGTTGGCTGAGCAATTATTAGTTTTATTATCAAAAAAATCTTTTAATAACTTGGATCCATAGGTTATTGTGTTTTGTTATAATTTTCCAGCCTAGCTTCATTAGATTTGCCTGCTTTACCTGGCCCATTCTTCTTAGGCCCAGACCGCTCCTTTCTTTTATCCAAACAAAAATTTTCCCATTTTGTGAGAGCAAAACGTTTATTATTTTGGAAAGTTAGTCTTCCCGTAGGGACAAGGTTTTTCCTTTCCAACCATCCAGTTTATTTTTTCACTTTATTGAGGCTTTTCTTTAATTTAAAAAAAAAATGCATTACATCAGTAGTCTTTTCAGCTTGGAAAGAATGAAAGATAAGGGAAGGGAGGAAATTGTATGTTTTTTGAAAACTATAGGGGAGGTTTCTATTAAAATCAAAAGACAGGAGAGATTTATATGATTGTCAGAAAATTCAGGGGAAGTTTTTATGTTTTACCCATCGTCTTATGATACAACACAAGAAGCCATTGCTGCCGAGTGCCGACTGCTCGAAGTTTTGAGCCGAGATAGATAATCGATCAATAAGAGGACTGAAAAGTTACAGTCACGTAGGTATGATATTATTTTTTTTCTTGCTTGTTTTCTTCTTCTTCTTGGACAAAACAGGAGCTTTGCCTATTCTCCTTCTTCTCTAAAGGCACACACAACTGACAACTGAGACAAGGGCTCCAGCCCCTCTTAATAGGCGCTCGCCTCCTTCTTCCCCTTCTTTTCTGAGGCACAGACAAGGGTTCCTTCTCTTATTGAAAACAATGGCTATGTCCCCACATTCACTCCTTCTCTGTGGCTACGCCATCGAGAACAGTGGCTCCCCTTACACTCTTTCTAGCGGCTTATGGTAGGTAGGAACGCTGCCCTAACCTTTTCTATGCCTCCCTGTTCTCCGCTCTAACTCTCTCTAGCCGCTGAGAACATAGACACACACTCTCTCTGAAGCAGTCCCGCGGACCTTGTATCCTGCCAAGGAAACAGCGCCTCCTTCCCTTTCACTCTTTTCTTTCGCATTGATTTTTTGGTATAGCCTTCATAACAATTTCTTTTTTATTTCTAGTTTTTACAGTAAGAAGGCGCTATTGAGCTGAAAATCGCCATATGGAGCGAAGCTTAAGCCATTGAGATAGAAACATAAGAGTATAACAGTGTCATATCCGATTTGGTTCGTCATCTCCACTTCAAAAATCCGAATTTTCCATGAGTTTCATACTTAGATCAGTGATTTTTTTTTTGTTTAATTGGTTGATTTGATAATTGTTTTTGGTCTGCAATTTCTCTGTGCTCTATTAAATTTTTATTTCATTACAATGTTCTGTCCGGGATTTTGATATCAATAGATTTAAAACCCCCATTCTCTTAAACATATGAGACTTTTCTATGTTTTGGCATGAAATTTCTTGTTACTTGGAAAGATAATTGCTTTTTTTTTTTTCAATATAAATGCCCATTATGCTATGTAAAAACTAAGGGGTTAACATAGGATCTAGAATATTTTTTAATCGAAACTCATTGCTTAGCTTCGTCTTGGCACCTTGACAACTATGCCTTGAGCCTTTCCTAGAGGGCCTCAAGTTGTAAGCCTCATAAGCTTTATGAAACACTGATACAACATATACAGCCATTCACATGACAGAGATGAAAAGAAATAATGATGTTCCAGTTAGTACAGAAAATGGTTGAAAGTCAAACCTGGAAAATCATTGAAAAAGAGAGGCTTAAAAGTAGATGATCAGTTCTACTTTCCCCATATTACCAGAAACCAACCACTTTTTCTTCTTTATTTCAAATACTTTGTCAGACTCAGACAGGACCTGATGGTTGAACCTGTCACCTGGTGACCCAGTTGTGGTCCTGGTTAATTGATAGTTTTCACAATCAGAATGAACTAACCGCCCAGTTAACCGGTAAAATTGTGATAAGCATTCCAGTTTTATATGTATTCTGAGTCTGACAACATTGCTTCATAGCTTTGTATATGACAAATGATGCTTTCCGTCATCATGGTATTTACCCATGTTTGTGAGACATTTCTAAAATCCTATAATTCCTTTGCAAGATATTTTTGTTGTTTCCTCATTTACTATTACCAAAAAAACATATTCTTTTTTATCATGATCTTTTAACCAGAAATCTAGACAATTGAACTCATGTCTCAGCTCTCAAGATCAGCCAACTAATATTGGAAATCCAATTGAGGTGCAATTTTCTTCATGTAACCTGGGTCATGATTATATAAAATTACTTCCTATTATTGTTGTTGTTGTTGTTGTATACTTCTGCTTTAGCTTTTCATTAAAAATACTAAATAACTGTCAAATATTTTATTCCCATATAAAAGAGATTTTATAAGTGTAGCCTAACACAAAACTGTTTCCAATAATAAACCAACTTGAACAAATAGGAGTTTTGTGTTCCATCCATGGCCTAGATTACTTGAAAACATTGCACATCAATTGGGTTTTCAATATTAGTTGACTGATCTTGTGACATGAGTTCAATTGTTTAGATCTTTGGTTGAAAGATCATGATAAAAAAATATCTTTTGTGGTGATATTAAATGGGAAAATAACAAAATTATCTTTTAAAGCAAGAGAAAGGCATTGTAGGATTTTAGAAATGTCTCACAAACATGGGTAAATACCATGGTGATGGAAAGGGTAATTTGTTGTATAAGAAACTATAAAGCATTGCTGTTATACTTGGACTGGATAGAACACTGGAAGCTCATCACGATTTTACCAGTTAACAGGGTGGTTAGTTCCTTCTGACTGGGACAACTGTAGGTTAACCGGGATACAGATAAGGAATTGGGTCACTGAGCCACCGGTTCAACCATTGTATCCGGTCTGAGTCTGACAATGTACAGGGGGCTAAATGCCACACCCACCAAAGTACAGGGTAGGTTCCAGTAATTTACTTTTTTCTTTTCAACCATGTCTAATTGTGTGTCAGTCATATGTCTGTGAATTGTGATACTGTGTACTCATGAAACCCTGCTCTGTATTTTTATCCCATGGAATTCCAGGATGTAGCAACTGATTTCTACTTCACTGGCAGGCCTTGGTAATTAAAATTCAAAACCATATCCAGAGATAGCTGATGGATACGAAGGGGAGAAGAGGGAACGGCTTAGGAGAAAATCCTGAAACCACTGCACAATCAAAAAAGAAAAAAGGCATCATGATAGAAGGGTACCCTGTAGAGGGTCTGTCTATCGGAGGACAAGAGACATGCGTAATATTCCCCACATTGAAGATTGCCTTTGACATTGGGAGATGCCCTCAACGAGCCATTTCTCAGGAATTCCTTTTCATCTCCCATGGTCACATGGATCACATTGTGAGTACTTTGGTGGTTTGTTTTCATTTGGCTGGACAAAGTTGAAATTGTTGACTCAATTGTAGACATGATGTTAGTAAGTTTTTTATTAGAAGGCAATGCATGACAGCTATCATATAAATTCTCTTTTGCAAATCTTTATTTTGTCCATCAATCTACTTGATCTGCATTTTTTCTCATTCACTTCGGTTTGGTTAATTGTATCAACAATGCCATAACTTATCATCAAACACTCCCTGTTTCTCTTTTATTTCTGTTATTATTTTTTTTTCTAGAAGTCAATACTAGCAATTCCAAGGTTGAATCTCAGATACATTTTCACTATTCAAACTTTATAAATAAAAACAATCAAATTCAGGCTTTGTGACTATAAGGAGAAGATAAACTCTTTTAGACCACCTATCTTATATTTCTTTTCCCTTTTCCAGCTTCCTTTCCCTTTTCTCCTTACCTCTTGTAGTTCTCAATGGATTGGTTACTGAAATTAAGATTTCAGACAAACGCTAACTGGAGATGATTTTGTTTTTTTTTCCCCTTTAAAGGGAGACCTTACTGCACAGAATTAAAATATTAACTACCTTTTTCTCAAAAATGTTGTATCTATCTAATTGCTTATATGTTTGTATATTTTTCTTCATAGCTCTATATGTTTTCTTAAACTTCTTGCACTATAGTTAAATTTTAAAACACAATGTCTAAGTCAAAATAAAATTCCAAAAAGTCTAATAGTTTGTATATCTTTGTTATTTTTTCTAAGAGTTTGTTTGAGCTATAATAAATTTGAGTTTATAAGTTACAGAATGGATGAATTTTTTAGCCATTTCTAGTGCTATTGTATCAGCAATATTATTGTTATTATATGGTTATCCTTCCACTTTAAGTGTCAGAATATAACTGATTCTCCTTATCTACAACTAGTGACAGTTTTTGGGAAAAAACCAATGATTAAGAAACAATCTGCTGTACAGTAAACAGTACATCTCTGTCTGTCTGTCTGTCTGTCTTTCCCGTTGATTGGTAAGTACACTACTCTCTTATGCAGTTAGAAAAAGCTTATTTAGAAATTAGAATTTTAATAAAGTATTAATGATTCTGGAATTTCCAGTAAATATATGAATTAAAAAATGATTAAAAAAATCCCAGAAGTCTATTCAAATCTGTTCAACTCCATTTCTTCTTTAGTAGGATTCCATTTATCATGTTGTGAACCTCAATTGGTGAGCTCAGTTTATTCTATGAGATCCGGGAGTATTTTTAATCAGTAACAAGGTCAAAGCATGCTTATTTAAAAGAGTACATAATCCTTTCCGAGGAGTTGGGATAGGATCTATGGCAGTAATGGCTGTACATAAACCTTATAATATAACAAAAGGTGCAAATTACCTATTTACCCTAGCATTCCCAAACCTTAATACAGAACATCCCTCACTCTAGTTGGACTATTCATAACTTTGTGTGAATGAGTTGCAAAGTGGAAATACCTCTTAGAAAAGAACAATTGGTGCAATTAATGTACTGTTTTAAATGTTTTTGTGATTACCAAAAGTGGAACTCAAAGAAACTAGATTCTAAGATCAATAGTGATTCATGTAAATCACTCCATGGGAAACACCATGAAGCAAGGGCTGACAATGTCCAGTCCAGGTCAAGCATAGGATACTAGTAATACTGAGCAACCTTGGTCCAGGCTGTGGGGCTGAAATTCAAAACCAACCTGATTCCAAGTGCTTCTGGGGACTGACAATTGGGCTTGCTGTGCTAGGCCAAAATTTAACTCCCTAAATTTTTGCCCATACAAATATTTTGGTAACTATTTGTCATATTTCTTTAGGTTAAAATATCTTAACAAAACTTTTACTTGTAAGACTTCTTATTCATACCTTAATCAATAGGAGTGTGAAGATTTGTTGATTGGCAATTGATGCAGAACCATCACCATGGTTGCTGTGAAGCTGAAGTTTGGCAGTTTTGTGTATTGGCAACCAGAAACCTTACCATCATTTTGTTATTTAAGGGTTCCAGGAATACTAGGGCTAGTTTTTTATATAATGGAGATTGAAAACAAACTTTGGGATCTCTACCATGTCGTCTGGGACTTTTGGGCTGTGACATCCCAAATGAACATCTTGTAATTCCCATATATTGGTGAATTCCCTTGCCAAGGATTGGTTGCTTCATCTTCTTCAGGTCAGGGTACTTCTCTACCCATGTAATGTTTTCTTTCATTTCATTTTTTATAGAAAGCTGTTTTAGTTCCCTTTTTTTCTACTTTCTCATAATGATAGGCAAAATCAGATGCTCCCTGTTGCAGCAAGATGGGTCTCTTGTATAACATGTGTATTGTATGGCAAAAATCATATGGTGGACTAGGTTGCATCAAAGCTGCTCATTGTCCTACTAGAACATATGGGTTTGGACATTGTCTCAATTTCTATATAACCAGCGGACCTTTTTCACCACTTGGGGCCAGTGATGTTGCAATCTTTTGACTGGGGTTCAATCCATTTGCACACATGGAGGTGGCTGGATTGGTATACACATGGTTATTCACAAGGCACCTTAGTTTTCCTCTTGTTTCCTTCATTTGTATCTTAAACTTGTCCTGTATTTGTGATGATGTGCATGTCTTAGTTTTCTTTTGTGATCATATAACATGAAGTGACTACACTTTGATATGCTAAAGGGAGTAAGGGATAAGAAATGTCTGATCTCAGATATTACTTTCCTTGGAATCAAATCCATGTGTTGAGTCATTATGTTTTTTTTATTGCATGGTTTCTTCTATTAACCTTACTATTTATTTATTTTTGATCAGCTATTAACCTTATTACTTATTTGTGCTGTTATTTATCAGCAAAATGAGGATTCACATAGGTGACAATGATAAGTTAATTGGGTAGAATATCATCATCATTTTTTGTGTGTAAATGTCAGGGAGGCTTGCCCATGTATGTTGCCACACGAGGCTTGTACAAGATGAGGCCCCCAACAATTATTGTGCCTACAGCAATAAAAGAAAATGTAGAAAGGCTATTCGAGGTGCACAGGGCAATGGACCAATCAGAACTAAAGCACAATCTAATTAGCTTGAATGTTGGTAAGGTCCCTTCTTTTGGTTAATTTATATTTGTCATTTTATTTGTTTGCCTCCCTACATTCATATATGAAGTTTTTCTAATTTTATTGTGCAGGGGAAGAGTTTCAATTAAGAAAGGACCTTAAAGTAAAGGCATTCAAGACATATCATGCCATCCCAAGTCAGGTAATGCTGGTTATAATTGTATGCTCTGATTTTTGGTTGCAGGTGGGTTACCCTAGCTTGTATAATAGACTTGTTCTCTATGGATTTATTGGGGCAAAGCAGAAAAAAGGGGAAGATCAATGTGGAGGTGTACAAGGGCTGCTATATTATAGTCAGTTTGGGAAGAAAGGATGCAGGAATCTACAAAGAAAAAAAAAAAAAAGAACCAAAGAGGCTATAATTGAATGTATAAAGATTGGAGCAGTGCTTTGATAAAACCTTTGGAGATTTTTTTTTCTTTTTTTTGATTGGAAACAGAAACTTCATTAAATAAAGAATTTCAAAGTACAACTGTCAACCCTTAGTAGAGGGTGTTGACCACAAATACATTTTGTGATTACAGCACTGCCCAGAACATATTCTCCCGAACAGTCCCTTGTTTTGCTAAGGTATCAGCTAACCCATTAGATGACCTTCTTATCCACTTTGGAGACTTCTAATCCTTTATCAATTGATGGTATTGTAAGAAAGTGGGGGGAGGTGGCTGCTTCTTCAACAAAAAGGCAAAGGCTATGAGAGTCTGGGAACCCCTAGAGAATGGTTTTTTGAAGCTGAACTTTGTTGGAAGTAGCTTGGGGAATCCAGGACCCTCAGGGGTGGAAGGAGTTAAAAGGGATGAAGGAAGTTTGGAAATGAGCTGGTGAATTGAACATTGAGAAACTTGGTATGGAAGAGGATGCTAAGGTAGTAATTAGCTGGTTGAAGAATGATGACAAGGCTCTTTAGAAGTTTGGAAATGAGCGGAAGAAAATAAGGTGGCTGACAAGAAAATGCAGGTGAAAATTTAATGGGTTACAAGATCGGCTAACAGTTGGAATGATTATCATCATGATCATTATCCATGCCTTATCCAGTTGGAATGATAGTTTAGCTAAATAAGGGGTGCATAGAAATCATATGTTTTGGGTAAATCAGTAAAATTGTAATGTTTAAGGAGGGGTAGCATGGCTATGCTCTCAGCCTTGTAGACTATTTAACTTCGGGTTATATTAATAAAATGATTTTTCTTTGTAGAAAAAACAAAAAGAAATTTTATGCTCTGATTCCTCATTTTATCTGGTTATAAGTAAAATTATGCCTTTCTTTATACCTTATGTAGTAACACATCTCCCTCAATTTATGGCAGGGTTATATAATTTACTCTGTAAAACAGAAACTTAAGGAGGAGTATATTGGCCTTTCTGGAAATGAGATAAAAAATTTGAAGTTATCAGGTGTGGAGGTCTGTCTTGGCACTTGAATTTACACAAAACACATTACACTGACATATTTTATATTTTAGAATACAATTCATAATTTTATTTGTGATTTATTTTTGCAACTTTTGTTTTTATTTTGATGTTGTTTTGGGCCCTTGGTTTTTAATGGGTTTCATCTACATATTGGCAGATCACATACACGGTGACTTCACCTGAAATTGCCTTTACAGGGGACACTATGTCAGACTTCATAATCGACCCAAGCAACATTGATGTTTTGAGATCAAAGATTCTTGTAATGGAGGTTATCATGTCATTCTCCTGTTCTTTGTCAATTTTGTATTCTATTGGTCTCTTACTTTTGCTACCTTGCCATTTGTTACCCTTTCTTTCAATTCATGAGGAATATATTCATTAAAAAAAGGGGGATCAAATTTGAAAACCCCTAAGCTATACAGTAACTGTGCACCTTATAACAAGGGGCTCTTCCACAAAAACAAAATTAAGAAGATCAATCAATCAGCTCAAGTACAAATGTGCTGAGAATGGCTTCTAGTAGGAAACACTTTTCTGATACATGCTTCTGATAGGGAACATTATAAACATTTTATCAACTTGCAGTCTCTTGAGAACATTTCTCCTCAAAAGTTCTGGAGTTCCGTTCTATCTAAATAGTCCAAAGAACTTCTGCAGGTCTATATCTTTAGGCATTCCTTCCTTACCTAGGCTTCCAACAGCTTTGCAATGATTCCATTACAAAATTAGGAGACACCCAACTCAATGCAGGGAGCGAAGGAAAAAAAACTAGAAAATTAACACTTGTGAAACTCTTTAGAAGAAAAGGCATGCTGGTGCTCATCTCCACGCAGTTGTGTAATGCAAGTGGAGAAAGCCACACATGACTTACTAATCTTCTTCTCTTCTGTTATTGGAATTTGGTAGCAATGTTTTAAAACACGGAGGCATCCAAGAAATGACTAGTTTTGAATCCCCTTCAAATTCCACCTGTTGCAGCTCCATTTGCTTAGCTAGTCACACCTCTTGTAATAGTGCCAGAAGCTCAGCTTTCAGGGAGTCCCCATGTCCCACTAGGCCTGAATACAATGCTACCACCTTGCCTAAAGAGTTTCTGAATACTCCTCCACAATGTTTTTGAACCGTCGTTGACCCAGATGGTCGGACCGTTTGGCCCGGAAACTGTCCAAGCAACCGGTTCCGTTTCACCCCTAACCTGTTCATGGGTCAAAAACCATTGACTTTGTCAAAAAACCGCTGACCCGGACGGTCGAACCATCGACTCGTTTGATCCGGACAGCGGTTCGCAGTATAAAGTTGCAGGAGAGAATTTGTGTTTCAGATCTGAGGAAGAAGATTAAGAAGAAGACGAAGAAGAAGAAGAAGAAGAAGAAGATCTGAGAACTGAGATCTCAGATCTGAGAACTCAGAGTCTGTTGCTGCCGTAGCCGTTGCCGTCGCCATCGCCATCGCCATTATTGTTGCCGGTGAGCGTCAAACCACCTTCCTCTTCCTTCTTCTTCCCTCTTTCCCTCCTTTTTCTTCCCTCCTTCCTTTGCTTTCTCTTCTTTTCTTTTTTCCTCTCCTTTCTTTCTTTTTTTTCTTCTTTCTTTTTTTCTTTCTCAGCCGACAACATCACTTTCTCTCCTTTCTCAAATCTCATAACTCATAAAATATTTGCCCTGATAGCAAACCGTTCGACCTGGACGGTCGAACCGCTGACCCGGAAACCGGTAGCTAGAACGGTTTCATTTCCGGGTCGGTTTTTAAAACCTTGCTCCTCCAATACTTGCCATGCCTAGATTGCTCAAAGAGTTCCCATCAAAGTTCAGCTTTATCTTATTATTGGCAGGAGGTTTCCACTCTGTCACCACCTTTTTTCTTTTTTTTTTTTTTTTTACTGTGGAAGAATTTGCCACTTGCCCAAGCGTTAACTGAAAAAGAATGGAATACCTATAGTGTCTTCACTCATTGTGCAACTTTAACTTTGATGCTCTCCAATATTTCTTTTTTTTTTTTTTATCAGTTCTCCAATATTTCTTCTTATTGAATATCCTCTAAAAGATCCTTTTTTCTGGACCCATTCAACATAGCTTTCAACAAAGAAGCTGCTTTCCATGATTCTTATGAGATCCTAGGTGATTCTCCTGTTTGGGTCCCAACTCCCAAGGTTACAAAGGAATATTCAAGACTGGGAAGGCAAAAATTTCTCTTGCTGGAGAAGGTGCCTAGAATTCTCTTCAAGGCATCAGTTATGGGTGAATGGTGGTGGAAAGTGGAAAAAGTGAGGCATCTTCTCTGTGAAATCCTGCTATAATTCTTTAAATAATTTCGAGGTTGCTCTTGTCCTCTGGAAGTGGATCTGGAATCTGAAAGTCCCCATGTAGGTGACTTTCTTCTTATGGACTGGTATCTAGGGCATAACACCTACTGAAGCTCATCTAGCAGCAGAGGCATGACTGTGGATACCATTTGTGGCCTTTTGTGGCAGTGGCAATGAATCACAGAGCATCTGTTCCTTTGGTGATTTTGAGTTACAGAGTTTGATTTCATCCTGGCCAGCTCCAGGTTACAGTAAGAGAGGCTGTATGCTTTGGAAGCTTGTGCCCTTGCTATTTGCCTGTCCATGTTGAAGGAACATAACAGCAGGGCCTTCGAAAACATTGAGCATCCAATGGAGACAATTCTGGGTAAATGAGAACTGAACATAATGGGGTGGGCTAAATGCTATAAAGAGATGCAGCATCTGTAATTTAATCGTCTCTGTTCCTATTGGGAGGGGATTGTTTTTGATGATATTTTTGTTTTAGAATAAGAGATGGTGTACATTTTGTCTCTTTCCATGTACAGCTAATATTTATTGCCACCACCCAAAGCTACCTCCCACCCCACCCCAAAACCCTGGTGGCAGCAGTGTTAAGTCTATGCTGGAACAAGCCAGTGACCATACCAAATAACCCACTCATCAGGCCATCAGTTGGTGTTAGGATGCAGAAATTTAAAATGAAAAGATAACACCCAGAAGAAATCATACTGTCATGTAGACCTGTTCATGGGCTGGGCTTTGGGCTCGGACCATGAACATTTGACACTGCTTCAGGCTTGGGCAGTCAGGCTTTGGACAAGGCCAATTTGAATTTTCGCAAAAGCTCAACCCAAGCCATCCATAAAACTGTGATGTAAGCTAAACAATAATGGATTGTTAATGTAATCATATTATATTGTGAATAACAATGAGGGGTTATTGAATGCAATGCAGGTCCACCCTTACTATCAAAAATTACATCCTAGTCCCATTGTGACTATAAACCTGAAGATTATATACATAGAGAACACTCTATAAATGACAAGATCATATACTCAAAACAGTTTTCCTTCTCATGCAGAGTACCTTTGTAGACAATTCAATGACAGTAGATAATGCAAGAGATTATGGTCACACTCATTTGTCCGAGGTTAATTCTCCGAACCAGATAACAGAACCCTTTTGTATTTTGCATCTTAGATGGAGTAGGGCAATCTGCATCTTGGACTTTTAACGTGTTTTGTTTAATTTGCAGATAGTTAGTTATGCAGATAAGTTTGAGAACCAAGCTATTCTTCTAATCCACTTCTCAGCTCGTTACCAAGCAGATGTAAGTTTCTATTAGATTGGTAAATTTGTTTCTTTATTCATCATGGACCCTACCTCTCTGGCCATGCATCCCACATATTCATTTCTTAAGACAGGGCGAAAGCCTCTTGAATGTGGTATATACCAAATCCTAATGTAACCTTGAGCTCTGATCATCTCCTTTTTTCTCCTTTCTGATATTACTTTATTACATTCAGATATTCAAACTACAAATTTTATCTGTAAAATGGAAGGATAAAATCCTCAAGTTGGCCTTGGGCTTGTGCCACATCCAAGAGGTGTTTTCCTGATAAAACATTCCAGATCAATTAGACAGTGGGACTGTCTAGTTTTTGGTCTAAAGGTGGTATTAGTCTCATGTCCCTGTAAATGGCCCTTATAATCTATACTCTTATCATAATTGCGGTCTTTCATGGTTACAATCTATTAGGAAATTCAGTCAGCTGTTTCTTCACTGCGTCCACCTTTGGCTGGTCGAGTTTTTGCACTTACAGAGGGTTTCTAAAGAGAGAGAGTTGAAGACAAAGCTTATTTCATCTTATGTATTTGTATGATGCATATTTCCATGATGAGCAAAGCATTATTATCCAATCATCTCAAACAGCATTCAGGGATAAAATATTCTGGGACATGCAGTTCTTAGTGGCTTTTATAATCAATGCATGGAAATGCTGGGCATTAATCCCATGTACTTGTTTCTCTGAAATTTAAATACCGATTTTAGCTTGACTTTTTTCAGCCTTGGATTTGGTAATAATCTTGCATAAAACTTGTTTGGGCACAATGACCATTATTTGTCACTTTTTACTATGTACGCAGATTTAATGATTTACTAATGGGGAACCGTGCGATGCACGGGCTTTGTTCACTGAAAGTGTAATAATGAAAATACATAATAGTAACCACATTTTTTCTAGTTTCCATTGTAACAATATGAACTAATATCATCACAGGCAAGGATTATAATGTTTAAATTATATAATTTATAATTTATACAAAAAAACAAATGTGTTTTAAGTACATTATGAACTAATTACATTTATTTCTTGAAGATTATTGATAATTAGTACATATTTTAAAAAATTAATTTTAATGGTTATATTTTTTTAACTTTTGGTAATTTATCAAATTTATTAGAAATCATGTTAATCCATTTTTGGTTATTTTCTTGGCTAATTTATGTTCATTAAATGCAATTTTATGCTATTTATAGCTTAAATTATAATTTAAATATAATTACTTAAATTATAATTATATTTATAGCTTAAATTATAATTTAAATATCAAGTAAACTGCGCTGCTCAGCACATTCTCTAGGCCCAACCCAATCACATCGCTTAGAAGAACTTAAGAAGGCAACTTGTTCTTCTAATCTAGGTTAATCTAAGGCCGAAATTATTGAAAAACCGTTGATTTAATCAGCAACCTCCTGACCCAGGCGATTGAACCTTTGACTTTTGACCCAATCAGCGGGTTATGGGTTACAAATTGCAACTTTACAAGAAAACTTATGGAGGTCATAACTTCACGCTGGACAGTGAGACTGAGTTAATCTCATTTTTTATTTTGGGTAATTTTTGGCAATCTATGGGCTAACCTGTTTTTGACCTAGACAATCAAACTATTGACTTGTGACTGAGGGAAAAACAGGACAGCCTTCTGATCAGTTTTTAAAACATTGGGTTGTGTGGCAATTCAAAATCTAACAAAGTTTGATGCCTTGAGCCAAGCTCAAACGCTTTCAAGTCTTTTTGTACAAAAGTATGTTTATCGGTTGGCCAACTGTGACGAGGGTGCACCCGTGCCGGTGGAAATTATGGAAAAGTGCAGCACATTGAGTGTACAATGCCGTCCGACCTTAATGCATGGATGTACAGTTTTACACTACTCAACTCTAAATGGCATGTTGGAATATGTTACATGGATATGTTAGAAAAGTTAGGATATACATGATCACACTAGGAAAACTCAAATAAATCCCTACTATCATAAAAAAGTGGAAATAACTCCCAATGTCTTATGGACTTTTTTTTTTTTTCTTGATTAAAATATTCTTTTTGCATTTGGTCCCTCTCCATTGACACAATGACAGAAATTGTAACTTAGAATATTAGTTTCCCATTCTCTCTCACTTAATCCTGTATTATCCTATATTTAAGGTATCTTTGTTTGTGATCATTAAATATCGCTAATTATATCCATGAACAATAATTTTAATAATATAAAAATCTATATTTTTAAAACCATCTCTAAATAAGAAATTCAATTTTCAAGTGGTAGGCAAGCAATTCAACTATTTTGGTCAAATACATCAACCCATGCCATATCTATATATTAAAACATTAGATAAAAATAAAAAAATAAAAAATTCAAGAATTTTTTTTTGGAAAAATCTTAATATTATATATATATATATATATATATATATATATTTGTTATATTAAGGTTGTAACTTTATAAACAACTTTGCCTTATGATTGATGTGAAAGGCAAACTTGAAAAATAAATCAATTTCAGAAAAGAGATTGAAAGGGTTTGGACTAGGGATTCATATGAGGAGAAAATTTGGAAAATAAACATTTTGGTCAAGAGTAACCAACCACATGGGTATTTTGAACATTTTCATACCTCTTTTTAGAAAGATTCTAACAAAGGGGATCTACATGCAACTATGTGAGAAAATTCAGGGAAAGTGATTACAATTACCAAAGTTCAGGGGAGGTTTCTTCGACAACTAGAAACTTCAGGGGAGGTTTTAACAATTTATCATTTTCTTTTGGCATGTAACCTTATGCCTATATCCCCCTTATAGAGGGTGTAATTCTTTCTTGGGCATAGCACAACAAGTTAACAACACTCTAGTAGGTGTTTGGCATCGGTGTTGAGAACACCACACTATTTTTTGGGCATGTGGAGTTGTAAGTGTTTATTTTTTGTTTGGAATTGGTGCTACCATACATGCGTTTTCTAAGAAAACAACATTGGTTTTGTTTGGCACCACTACTGGTAGCAACATTTTCAACATTGATCTATATTATCCAACATCCAAGATGATGCCATATTGATTCCACATCATTGCATCACTAGCAGCAATGCACCATTTTCTCAAAAAACAATGAATTTGGCATTGCTCCAAACCACACTTTCTCGATTTCCAAGGCATGGTATAGAGCAATGTTTTTTCTAAAAAAACAATACCAAACAAGAGAGCATTGTTTGAAGCACCACTTTCTTTGATGTGGCACTTACGTTGTGCCATTTTCTCATAAAACAACACTGATGCCAAACATCACCCTAATAAATTTCTTCTAAAGTCGATGGTAGCTGATAGCACAGGCTCAATTCTTATCTTCTTCCGGTTCAATTGCTCATTTATTGGATGTAGTGTCATGCCCTCCTTTGTCTTGTAATCTGTCTTTAACACCCAACCAATCTTTAAAGCAAATGCACATATCTATACTTTCATCATTCAGATAGCTTCTCTTGTCGTTCAACACCTTAGTACCTACACTAAAATAAGACTCCGATGGAACCGTAGACACCGAAGGGGTTAGTAGATCACGTACCATGGCAGCGAGAATTAGATAATTTTTTGAATGTTCACTCCACCAGGTGAAAATATCAAAATTATTTGTTCCCTCACCTAAAGTAGAAAAATTTGCCTGTAAATAAAAATTAAGCTCAGCAAATGAACTTGTTGTTGAGGTAGCATATTTCTACCTTCTACTTATTAAATAAAAAAAAATTCTCTTCTACTATTGGGCTCAAGTTAAGAAGTAGAAGATGCATTTGTACAACTTGTAGAATTATTTCCTATTACTTCAATTTCATATAAAATGTACATTTCAAATAATAAACTATTAATTTCTTCTTTTTTATTTTCAATTTCAATATTCATATTTTCATAACATATTTCAAGTAAAATATCTAAACCATTTTTCCTAATCCTATGATCTAATATTGTAGCTAAGCAATAAAGAGGAGAAATGTTCTCCCAATATTTTTTAAATTTATTTTCCATTACTTCAACAATACTTGTAAATTGTCGACTATTTCTACATTTTGCAAAACAATCACTAATCACCATTTATTGATAAGGTAAATTACAACTAGTTGGATAATAAATACCCGATAATTCATTAGTTGCATCATAAAAATGTTTTAAAAAATCTCTTATACAAATTGTCATTTCCTAGTCTTTCTCAAATATAATATCATTAAACATTTTTGCATTATAAAAATCAGTAAGAATTTGTTTATGAAAAATACAACTTTCTAACATAGCGTAGGTGGAATTCCATATATGTTTAACAACTAATATAAACTGTTTATATTTTAAACCATAATTTTGACATAAATATTTAAATTCTTGTTTTCTTGCTTCAGAACTTTTAAATATATATATATATATATATGAGTAGAAATCAAGGTTTTCCAACCACCGTTGATTCGGACGGTCAAACCGTTTGGCCTAGGAACCGTCTAGGCAACCGGTTCTGTTTTACCCCAAACCCGGTCTTTGGCAAAAAATCGTTGAAAAAGTCAACAACCCGTTGACACGGGCAGTCGAACCGTCGACCCACTGACCCATTCAACGATTTTTGAACATTTTTAATTTTTTAATTTGATTGTCAGAACAAGTCGTCCATTCGAACCAGACGGTCAAACCATCAACCCAAAAACTGGTGGCTAGAACAATTCTATTTCTAGGTCATTTTTTAAAACGTTGGTAGAAATAATATTTAAAGCATCATGAATACATAAATTTAAGATGTGACATGCACGTCTGATATGAAATAATTTATCATTTAAACATGGTTTTAACTGATATTTTAAAATATTTATTGCTAAATCATTATTGCTAGCATTATCAAAACTAATAGAAAATAATTTATTCTCAATTCCATAAGCATGTAAAGTATTTAAAATGCTTGCAACAATAGCTGGGCCAGTATGTGGTCATTCAAGCCTAGTAAAGCTTAAAATTATTTTATTTAAAAGCTAATTTTTATTAATAAAATGACTGATAACACAAATATAACTTATGTTAAATTTAGAAGTCCAAACATAAAAAAATAATTGCAACTTTAGAATTAAGATTTGATAACATATAAATTAAATTTTGTTTATATGAATAAAAAAAATTTAAAGCATCTGATCTAATAGTATTCCTACAAACTTTTTTATATTGTGGATTTACAGAATTAGGTAACCATTTTTAAAGTTTAGTATCTTCAGCTAACAAAAATGGTTGTTTAGCATATACAATGTATTTTGCTAATTCTTGCTTCATTTTTTTAAGAATATTTAAATGTACCAAACTCCCCTCCCAATTTGTGTTTGTGTTGTTTCTCTCCCTTCTTCTTCTTCTTCTTCTTCTTCTTCAACTTTCTCATGGGTGAGCAAATGTTTGCTTAAATGGCCAGTAACACCCTTACTACAATGCTAAAGTCTTTCCTATATTTTTGGCAAACAACTCTTTTTCTCTTCCCCTCAACATCTTATACTTTAAATATTTTCCAAACCAAGCTAATCAACTTAGAGGCCCTATTTTTCTTTCCCTTAGTATCAATACTAGGGGTGGGAGTTCCGTCAATATCAATAACATCCATATCGGTGCTAACACTATCATGATGCGACTGAATATCATTGACATTGAACATGTTGGGGAATTGGTTTTGGGAGGAATCGACCATTTTTTAAAATTCTAAAAAAATAAAAAATAATTTAATTGGACTTACCTGGATTGTCGGTTCAGATTCCCAACTTGATTTCAACGGTTGAAGCCTTTCAACTCCAAGAGTCCAAGCCTCCAAAATTGCTAACTTGAGATACTTGAGTTGGTTGAGAAAGCCTTATTCTTGTTGAAACTTCAATAAAGTTGAGAATTGGAGAATCAACCAATTAGAGTTCAGATCACTTCAGACTTCAGAGAATGTATAAGAGAGAGACTAAGAGAGTTGTTGAATTGGTGTGATGAGAATGGTGGAGGATAGGGCTATTTATAGGAATTGAAAATAAATCAATTACCTAAAATATCCTAAAAAGTAGCCTTTTTAGTTGTCAGGAGGGGTATTTTGGTCATCATAAGGTTATTTATCACTTTACCCAAAATGCCCCTGTAAACTAGCTGTTATATAGCTTTTGGGGGGCATTGGTGCAATTTTTTCTCCCCCCATGATCAAAATACATAAATACCCCCTATATAGTTGTTTATAGCTGTTGGGGGTATTTCTGTAAAAAAACCTCCTAAAAAGCTGAAACTAGCCATTGGGGGGGGGGGGTCCCCAACGGCTAGTTCTCAGGCGGGTCGTGCTATGCCAGCCTGTGACGGGCCATGCCGCAGACTGGGCCCTACTGGTCCGTGGACTTCGAACCCCAAGCCCAACATGGCATGGACCATCGTGCCGTGCCTGACACAACCTACGTGTTATCGTGCCATGTCATGCCGGGCTGGTCCCATGGCCCGGGCCGATTTACACCTCTACTTAGTGATCGTAAGTGACCAATTCTTCAAGGTCAACCCTGCTGTGTGATTAGTTATGCAGCCCATTGTACACAGGCATGTTCAGTCTTTAAGTTGTGATTAATTATGTAGTCCGTTATACACAGCAGGGCAGGCAGGAGATGCTGCTCAACATACCCATTCAGGGATTTCTTTTCAGCCCCACTCCTCCCTCTCCATCTCCTTGTTCAACTCTCTTTCCACCTTATTTTCTTCTAATAAATTTACGGAGTAAGGCTCTAAAGATTGCAGCTGATTAAGTTTCCTGCTCAGCAATTCCACTCTCCCTTATTTTGTTATTGATCATTGTAATTTGGCAAGTTCTTTTAGAAAGATCTTTCAGGGACACAGATTGTCAAAAGATAAAGACTGTTTAATATACTTTTTAAAATACATTTAGAGACTATTTATCACATGGAAAAATCAGAAAGCTTGGACTTACCAGCTTTTGATTAATAAATAGAAATGATCAATTTTTTTTTTGATGGGTTGGGTTCAACCCAAACCCTCTATATGACAACAACTCTTCATTGATTTCACCGTAAGTTGTCACTATCTCACCAGTGAAGAGCTCTCTAGTATGTTGTTGTCACTATCTCACCTTGGCGGTCAAATGGGTTGGATGCAATTTTTTCTTTTTTTTATTCCACGTAATTGTGATTAAACCCAACGAAAGGCGAGAGACATTTGAACTTCCAAGACGTCTTCTGCCCCCCTTATTAATTCGTTTAACAAGTTGGAATGCCTGACGTTTGGACGTGCCAATCTTCTTCCAATTTCAATTCTTTATTTTGATTTTTTTTTTTAAATTTAGATTTTCCCGATTTCATTTGGGTTTTGCAAATAGATTAGGTTTTGTTAGCCATTCTCCAAGATAGAGGCTCTAGCTCTAGCTCAAAGCTTTGATTTCACTATCAAAGCTCCAGTCATTCTTCAAGACAGGTAAGGTACAAAACTTTTCCTCTGTTATGTATATGAGGAACTACACATCTTGGATATGGAGGTACAAGAAACATACACAAAGACTGCGTTCAGGTTTGAAGTCTTTCTTTTGCATACCAAAACAGGGGCTCCGCCCCATTGTCCCTTTCAACCTATCCTTGAATGACGAAGATCTCTTAATGTTTTACATCAACAGGTTATTCAAGTGGTAGTAACAACTCAGTTCATGTACCATAACACAAACCTTCGTTTCAGGTAAACTCTCTGTTCGTAAATCACATTTTAGATGGCAAAACAGGGCTCCGCCCCATTCTCCCTCTACCTATCCGCGAAATATCATTTTATTTTAATGTTTGAGAAACCATCTCAAACAGTTCCATCTATTTCTTCTAATATCATTTTTAGGTGAACAGTTTTATTTTTTTACCTCTATTTTATGCATTGCATTCTTCATATAAACAGTTCACTGCTTTTGTTTGAGAAACCAAGTCTCTTCAGTTGCAGCCAGACCCAGTTTTGTGCTATGCATTATCTCTTTTCTTTAGCTGGTAGTAGTTCAAATCTTTATTCTCTATTTTTCTAAGTGGAAGTTGAATGTAACATACAGTATATATCTGCTGCAATTGTAGATTTTAGAAGCACAACACCGTCAAGGCCTTTAAGAGGATTGGGAGCTTTGTCTTTGGTCACCTGGCAATGATACCAGAACAACTGTCGACAGAACAGCCAAGGCATGGGAAGATAAATAGACCCCCACAACGACTTACCTGAGTTGGAGTTGGAGAGACGAAGATGAAAATTTCCTTGCAAATGTAATGAGGACTTGAGGATAGCCTACTGCCTACCCAATTGGAGATGAATAGATTTTTGTCGGTGTTGGTAGTTCCATTAGAACCATAAAGATGAGTTTCTAGATATCCACCTGTTACTGATAGGATTTTTGCTTAGACAAAGTAGGAGTTTCTACTTTCCTTTTTAACGTCCCTTTTCTCAGTTCTCAATTTTCTTCGGTCCTTTACAAGCCAACCAATGACTGGAACAACTAGATTTCGTTCAGAATGGCCACTGGCCATTTTCCGATTAATTGGGCTTGGGCAATTGGAAGTAATTGATTGCGCGAATAGACCGTTTATGCATTCGGGTAAGGACGACAAAGTAAGCATGTGTTGTTCATCCGTTGTCAATCCATGCAAATGGGTTAATAACTTTCTATTGGATAGACCGGTCCGTACTTCGATCTAAACCGTTTTTCAAATCCATGCTCCATGTTTGAGTCAATTAAACAAAATTTTAAGGTTCTTAGATAAAAAAAAAATTATGGTTTTAAAATTCATTATTACATATAAAATTAATTTCCATTAGAATCAATGCAATTTATTTAATAAAAATGTTTTTATTAATAAAAGTTAGTACTTCAAAAAAACTAACTTCATAATTAATATACTTACAACAACTAATAAAATTAATAATATTTAATAAAAATTAATCAAGCAATAATTAATAAAACAAATTTATTAATATATTATTAAATAAAGTTCAATGGCATTTATTAAACAAAATTAGTATTTAATAGAAAATAATAAAATGTCAATTTATTATTATTCCAAAATAAAGTTAATATAAAATAAAACTAAAATTAAAATTATTAATAATTTTCATTAATTAATAATTAAAATTATATATATATATATATATATATATATATATATATATTTATATATATAGGTTTGTCCATGTGAGCATGCCTCTCCTTTGAGAGAAGCTATTTATTTATTTTCTCCATTTTTTGTATTTTTTTCTTAATTTCTTTTGTTTTAAAAATACAAAACGGTAATATAAATTAATAAAGCTATATACTATTAGAGAGAGACCTTTGAGTTTTCTAAGGCCTCCTATTTTAATGCATGTTATTATTACATTTAAGAGAGAGATAGAGAGAGAGAGAGAGAGAGTAGTAATAATAGTATAAATCAAGGTTTTTAAAACCGAACTAGACAACGAACCGGTTAGAGGTCCGGTTCCTGGGTTGAATGGTTCGATCATTCAAACTGAATGGATGGTCGATTCTAACAAAAAAATAAAAAAATCATTGGACGGTTCAAACGGTTTGACCGCCAAGGTTAGCGGTTTACTGACCAAAGCAACGGTTTTTGGTGAAATAATGGTTTTGGGGTAAAATGGAACCGATCACTTGACCGGTTCCCGATTATTCTGGTCTGGTCCGATTTTGAAAACCATGATATAAATCAAATAATATAAATAGGTTGTGCTTAAACAATCAAAAAATTATTAATTTAAAAATCCACTAAACTTTCACTAAAAATAAATATTAACGAAACTTAGTAAATATTAAAAATTTGTTTCAATTCTACTTAAAAATCCAACTTAGTAAATGCTAATAAAAATAAGAAATTTAAATATAAAAATATTAATTGATAGTTATAATAATATTATTAGATAACTTATGAGTTGAGACCTTAATAAACGCTAATAAAAAATATTAATTGATAGTTTTAAAATACCAACAATTAATTAAAAATCAGAAAAATTCTGAAAAACCTAAACATAATTAAAATACTAAAAATAATTAAAAAATATTGAAAATTAACAATTTTATATTAATAAGGGTATTTACTTAAAATAATTAAAATACTAAAATACAATTAATAGTATTTTACTATTAAAAAATAAAAAAAAAATTATTAAAAAATACCCAAGCCAAAAATTATTGAAAGATAATGAAATTTAGTTGTATTTTTAATAACTATGGTATTTATTTAGTTATGAAAATACAAGAAATTATTGAAAAATACCCATATGCAAAAAATACTGAATAATAATAAAAAGACACCAAAAATTATTAAAAATCCAAAAATTCTGAAAAACCTAAAACTTAATTAAAATACTAAAAATAATTAAAAAAATAAATTATTTGTACTTTATTACAAAAATAGTGAATAATAATTAAAAAATAATGTATTTTCATTATTAATGGTAATAATTAACAACAATTATTTTTAAACTGTAATTAGCAGTAATTATAATTTAAGCTATAAATAGTAGAAATTACATTTAATAAGTTTTAGCCAAGAAATTAGCAATATTTCTGAAAATATGATAATTTCCATAAATTATTATATTTTAAATAGATATAGTAATTTAATAATTATAAAATTTTAACAGCTAACAATATTTTAATAATTAATAATAAAAAGTAACAAATCGTTTATAACTTAACCTAACCCGATTAGGTCTAAAAATTTGCAAGATCAAGCAAATATTTTCTTTTGAGTTAGGTCTAGCTGAGATATGCACCATGCCCACACATTATGAGGGATAGTTAGATACGAAGTTTAATTGGGTATCAAACTTTTGGAGTCTAGTGATAGCTTTATCGGATAGGGCCCAAGCTAAACAACCCCTAATAAGCTCAACTTGGAAGTTATATGCATATATGGTAAATATTATTATATATAATTTAAATAACAAATTTTATATTAATATATAGAAATGTTATATATTTTTATACTAGACTAGAATTAAGTATAAAATTTAATTTATAAAAAATCATAGTTTTATAATTAACACGAGCCTCTTTATCAACAGAAAATGTGCAAGCCCGAGCCCGAGCCTGAGCCTGAGCCCAAAGCCCGATCTGTACACAAAGTGTTTTATTTTCAGTATACTTTTATAAACTAATATTATATTTATTTAGTAATAATTTAATAAGTTAATAAACTAATTTATATTTCCTAATAGTAAATTGATATTTATTAATAATTTAAGAAGCATATATATATATATATTATATTTATTATATAACATAAGTACCTTTTTATATATGTAATAGTATCTAGTTGGGCTTATTTGAGAAAGCTCAAGCTTGAGCCCACGAGCCTAAAATTTTGTCCAAGCATGAAAAATAGCGGGTCAGGCCAGGCCGGGCCATCAGGCTACTTGGCCCATGAATAGTTCTAATTGTATACATCAAAAATCATATGGAATAAAAATTTAAACGTCTTTTTCATTTTTTTTAATGGACCTCTCATAGCTTGGCTTGGTTTGCGGCCTGACCTGGCCCAAGGCTTGATCCAACATGACCCGATTTACACCTCTACTTGAACTTGCCCAATACTAGGGACAGGGTGGGGAAATTCGAGGATTTCCCATCCTTGATGAGGAGTGGGGTCCCTTGCCCCTGAACTCGCCCGACATTGAGGAGTGATTGGCTTGCCTTGAACCTACTTGACATTGGGGACTGGGCAGGAATGGGGTAGAGTGTCTTGATGATGGGGCAGGGGACAGGGATGCCGGTGCCCTACCTTAAATCCACCCATTGTCATTCTTATATAATTGTTAATTATTAGTGAAACTAATAAAAATGTTAGTTTTTGTAATTATTTTTATTTATTTAAAGTTAATCAAAATTTCATTTAAAAATAATAACAATTATTAAAATTTCTATAAATTATTAATAAAACTAAATTTATTAAAAATATTTATTCATATTAAATTAACAATAGTTATTTTTCGTAAATCAACATTAAATAAAAATACAATTATTAAAATTTTAGATATTAACTATAACTTTGAATAATTTTGGTTAATTAACAAAAAAATTTGATTATTAATTTAATATTAATTAATATTAAATAAAATTATTAAATCTTTCAGACTTTCCCGTACATCGCATGGGTCCCCGCTAGTATTTGTTTACAGGTGTTTCAAGAACGCTATTTTTTAATAAAAAATATATAGAAAATCCTACCCTAAAACCAATTTTTGAAAAAGAAAGGTAAAAAAAATATAAAGTGCAAGGTGATACGCCTTTGCTGATACACGGGCGTATCAATACTTTGAACTTGTGCTGGTACAAACTTTGTTCTTTTGTTTTTGTTATGGAATAATTGGCTTGTCTTTTTGTTACAAAAATTATATGTACTTGTCCAATGAAATTATTCCTATTGAACCTCTAATTTGAGAAATCACAAAAACTAAAAAAATTAAATCATATCATAACGGAAAGATCAACAAGGGAGTAGTGTTCGGAAATAGAAGCCCTAAAAGGATCTATTGGAAAAAAGACGAAGTGAGAAGTGAGTCAAGTGATAGAGCAAAAGAGAAATCAAAATATTAATGGATTATCCATTATATAACCATAACCCGACCAACCCAATCCATTAAGTATTTCTTTATTGGGTTAATCAACCCACCCACTAATGACGCAGGATTAAATTAATACAATCCAACCTATAAATTAACCAACCCACCTGATGAGGGCAGATTTGGCCCTCCAGTGAAATTGTGACACGTGGTACCTCGTGACAACTAGGCAAACACCCAGGCAACAACTTACCAAGTTGGTGTCCCCCCAGGCACCGGTCTGGCTGGCCTGGCGCGACCTACATGCGGCCCACGGGCGGCTTGGCACGGCCCGCGCGGCCTG